AAAAAAAAAAAAAAAAAAAAAAAAAGAAAAAGGTAGTACTAACCTATAGTGGTAAGTGTAATAAAGCAAAAATATGCAGAATCGAGGAATGGCCAATGTTCCCAAGCGCTAAACAAGAAGGCGCCACCAAAAATGTAACTAACCACCAGGAAAACGCATAACCATATTGGTACTGGTTTTATTTGCTGCCTTTCCTGATCATCGTTAGTATAATATTCGTAATCCGAATCAAAATCGTCTACGTATACTTGTCTATGTACAGGAAATCCAGCTGAGGACATTATATCGGATGGCAATGTGTCCCTTCTGTACGATCGAGCTTTTGTGATGAAAAAACAAAAAAAGAAACGATAAAAAATAATTATAATAACTTATAATTAATTAATTATAAATAAATGCGAATGTTAAGAAAAAAGTGAAGTTGGAAAAATTAGTATATGAATGAAAAATAGAATTTGTAATGATTAATAATAGTTTATAAATATTGTTTGTAAAAAAAGTTTAAAAATCTTAATATTTGAACATTATTGAAGAGATTTTAATAAATCTTTCTAAAGATTTTGAAGATTTTCTAAATATAATAGTAAAAGAATTAATTTACCAATAGGGTAGTTGTTTCTATAACGTCTGGTTTTTGGAATTTGAGTCTTTCTCGAGTTCTCTAAATCCAAATAAATAGATGATGGCCGTAAAGAGGATGGCAGACTCATTCTGTAGTTACTAGTCGCAGCATCCATCGATAAGCATCTTCTGGGCAACGACCTCGTCATTAATGGCTCTTGTTTCTCACTATTTTCACGAGTTTCTGTCGCCTCTGGCTCCTCTTTTGATTTGCTCGTATCGCCTATTGCGAATGATATTTATTAATCAGAGTAATAAAGCAAAATAGATCCGTTCAGTTTCTCCATATAATAAGATTTACATTTTTGAAAATAGATTTATGATTGTTAATCTATATGCAAAATATTTGTCCATAATTCTGATTGTAAATATTAAAGATATTAATGGATAAATTGATTATTGTAAATAAAATCGGAAATATAGATAAATCGAGAACGTGATAAAATTACTAAAAATTAAAGATGTAAAAAATAATATAAATAAAACATAAACAAATATATCGAAAATACAAATAAATAAATTAAAAATGTAAATAAATAAATTCGAAATATAAATAAATAAATGCATCAAAAATAAAAATATTAATAATTAATATAAATAAATTTATAAGAAAATATTGATTATCTCGATTGTTATATAGTTACTTGTGTTTCCGGCGGAAGTTGGCCACCGTCGCAATTCGTTCTCCAAATTATCCAAGGCGTATTTATTACATAAAACCGAGGAACGATCAATGTCATGTGATGAACGCATCAACAATTTCCTGTCTAATGATTGCGTTGTCATCTTGGAACTG